TTTTTTCTTTTTAATTAATTAGCGAAAAAAAAAAAGAAAAACTTAATTGAAAAAACTCTCACCAAACAAATTGATTACTATATTTGACTAGACAATTCTCTAAATGATACTCAATTGGCTAATTTAGAACCAATTCACAAATAGGCGAGTAGAGTCCTAAAGACAGTGACGAATCAAGAAATTTTATTCAGGACGACTCGATTTTAAATGTTAAATAGTAACCTTGAAGTTTAAGTCAAAACACGTATTTCATATAAAAATACATTTACTATAAATATAAATATTGATATGTATACCATCAAGTTTTTTTGAAAACTTATAATCCGTATGGCCCTCAAACTTTAAAAAAAAAAATAAACAAAAAATAAAAATAAAAATAGGAATGAAATTTGTTTGCAGGACCTCAATCAATTTGCACGCATACCAACTATAAATATAAATTAGTTTTTATTGATGATAATTAGTTTAATTTATGAAACATACCAATTAATAATGTCACTCTTAATTTTCTCGTCACCAAATTACATATTTTACGATGAATTTGTTTGCAGGACCTCAATCAATTTGCACGCATGTACAATCATTTCATGAACTAAGTTAAGATAATGCATTTACTATCATTTCATGAACCAAGTTTAAAAACCGAAAAAAACCGCAATTTTAGTCCGATATGTTATCAACCATAACATTTTGGTCCCCTTTGAATTATTTTTTGAATTTCTCTATTATGTTTACAATAAGGTTACAAAAAAGGTTCCCTTCGAATTTGCCAAAAGGTTGCAATTACGTCTTTTATGTATGCTCGGGGGCCTTTTTGTAACCTATTTTGCAAACACAAGGGACCAAAATAAAAACAACAATTTGAAGAAAACGAAAAAATTAGAGTAGTAAAACATATACGACTAGAATTGCAATTTTCTCTTTAAAAACCATTATCACAGGATATAGATACCAAAGATCAGATTTTTCAGAGTAATATAGAATCTCCATGCATCTCACACAACTTCATGTGTATGGAGTAAAAAAAAAAAGGAAAGAGAGAAAGAAAGAACTTAGAGCAATTCGGAAAAGAGCTTCTCAGAGATTTTAGCTACAGACGGGGAATTTTATCTCATTTACACGTCGCTTAATCAGTCATACGGTCAGCAACTCCTGGAAAACAAAAAGACGACGAAAAATGATTTTTTTTATCTCAGAGAATAGAAGATTTTTTTTTTTCTAATTTATTTTACCTTCTCTTTCTGTTTGTAGATAGAATCGATTTTCTTAATGTACTCATCCGTAACTTTCTGCAAATACGTAAAATCCGACAGTGAAGTTCTTCAGCTTCCCATTAAGTTGGAGAAAACAAAACGTAAAAAAAGGGAAAAAAAAAACCCTTCGAGCATAAGTATAATATGACTTGTCTAATGTATTTAGTGAAAATATGAAGTCACACCGAACAAATTTTTTGAGCTTTAACAGAATTTTCAATAGTAATATTCCCCAAAGAAACTGGTCTGTGTTGATATGACCTTTAAGACTTCGTGCATATTTTACTTGTCACAGACAAATTACTCAAACTAGGCATATTATTCATTAATCAAATGATTAACTGCAAAAACAAACTTTTCTAAACTAATTCATCAAGCTGAATAATTTACCTGCATATCAGCCGATAGGTCCTTTACGTTGTCCTCAGACAGCTTCTTCTCCTGCAGGAATGGTAACTTTCTACATTGAAATCGATATATATATATATATATATATATATATATATATATATATATATACAGAGAGAGAGAGAGAGAGTTGACGAACCTTCTGGAGTTTATCGTAAGATTTGATGGCATCTCTTCTTACATTCCTTATAGCAACCTAAAAAATAGATAAGGTTCGCTTCCCTCCCGAAAATTGAAAACTTTCAAAAAATAACAAAAACAAAAAGGACCGACAATAATAAAAAAAATAAAACTAAACTAAAAATACGCAAATACACAAACATTTTGAGCAATATAGGCAGCAGAAGAAAAAAAAAAAAAGGTTTACCTTGCCTTCCTCAGCCTGTTTAGCCACCATCTTCGACAACTCCTGCAATAACAAGACAACGATAAATATATGTTCTCAAACTAATTATCAAAAGATAAAATTAAAAGAAAACTAAAAACCTTAAATTTCAACATCATATGCTACGTAGGTACGAAAACCTTTTTGCAATCATGACATAAATTGAGTTGAGGGGAAAAAGTAAAAACCATTTTAACGCCATTTGCTTAGCTACAATACCTTCCTCCTCTCGGATGTCAATTGGGGAATGGTCAATCTAATAACTTCTCCATCATTGTTTGGATTCAAATCGAGGTTAGAACTGACAATTGCTTTCTCAATGACCTTCAAGCTGAAAAAAAATGGACAAATGCTTAAAACGAGAATACACGTTAGGTATGGCCTGAAACATGTCATATCTTTGACATCAATCATCTTATGAAAACATCCACTGAAATTAGAACTTATGACCAACAACTGAGGAAGTCCACATAATCACTATTATAATGTCAAACTCGGTGAATTTAAAAGAAATTATACAAGGGGCTAAACCTGGATTTGTCATATGGTTGCACCAAGAGAGAACTTGCATCAGGAGTACTAATTTGAGCTATACTCTTCAAGGGAACTGGTGTTCCATAGTACTCGACCTAAGAAGGCAGGGGGAAGGAAAAAAGGATAGCTATTTATTAGATAAATCATGTAATTAGAAAAATTAGTTAGCTGAAAAACTAATTGTGTATCCGTCTCAACTAAGAGCCAGCTAAGCACACCATTTGTATATATTCTGCAAACTCTTTGTTAATGAAATGTATTGAACATTTTACAGTTTATCTTGCTTGAGCTTTTCTAATACTATTAAAATAGTCATGCACTAATTTTCCGTACGCTAATCCAGCATGCGAGCTCGAAGAATGATCTGGAAATTCTTTTTCCACCTCGCGAAACAACATTTCTAATTTACTTAATGTATAAAGTAATGACTTATGAGAAACAGAAACATTTTCACACAAACACCCGAACATAAAGGAAACAAAAAGAGAATAACTAAATTCTTGTCAGCATTCGATTTCAATATGAACAAAAATGCCAAACACTGGCGATAGATAATCACATGAACTAGCAAACAGATTGCAGATACCCCAAATTGCCAATACATTGATTACACGATATACATGAGCATTACATATGCATTGAAACCACAATGGGCATTACAAAGGATATCCGATACCTCAACTTTGTCCAGTATAGCCGGGTTTGCTCTGCCAGTCCTAATTGAATTGAAACGGGACCGCACGTTTTCTATTGTCTTTTCCATTTTTTCTTTCTGAAACCACAATGGGCAAGATACCACACTCTTAGCAATTAGCATTTTTCAGAGGCTGCAACAAAATGTAGTGAATAAAGAAATTATTTCTTACAGCAGCTTTCTCAATCATGGACTTCTCTGCTTCTATTTCCTCAATAGTCGCGCACCTAACTCCAAATCTAACATTTGAACAACCCACTTGAGTTTAAACAGAACCAACAAATATCATATCATGATAAAATTAAAAAACTGATACATAAACAAATTATCACCTCTTCTTCCATGTCCTGGTGACTACCAAAGCTTTTCCATGAAATTGAAACCCTTTTGCCGCCGCCTGAAGCTTAACGTAGTTTGCTGACACTCTCCAAGAACACGTGATTTTAGAAGCTGCACAAAACCCCCAAAACTCAATGACGCGCTAGTGTAAGGAATCAAAACCCCCAGGAAAATACAACTAATTTAAAACAAAATGAAAAAAAAAAAAAAAAAATCGGGTCAACCTGGGATTGAGAAGCGTATTTTGGGAGCATTTGACGCGTAGCAGATGGAGCGTACATGGGAAGCAGGCGAAAATGTCGCTGCCATTGAAATGCACACAAAATGCTCGATAGAATGCCAAAATGAAATTTTGCAGAAGACTCGGTGCTAAAATTATGTGCAGCTGCTGGTGTTACGGGGAGGGGAGTGAGAGATAGTGGATAAGCGGTTTTTTCTTGGACAGTTTTGCCCTTATTTGCTCAACTTAATTTCTCTTTTGCCCCACCTTTTTAACTTTTGAGCTTCGCGGTTATACTCCCTTCACGTATGTCAAAACGGGTTTGGGCACACGGGTCGGCCCACCACGGCCCGCTTAATAGATGGGTTGGGTTGCTATTTTAAAGGCCCATCAAAGAGTTGGTCTATCCGAGCTTGTCCGTGCAAGTCGCGAGTATTGGATCCTAGAATCTGAAGGTTGCCAGAATATGAAGTCGGCGGTGATCGATTTTCCACACATCCGCAGTCGGCTCTACAGTGGGAGGTTCCAAGATCTAAAGCAAGGTGCCCACATGTTTTTTCTCCCAATGACACTTTTAAGCTTCTAGGATTTTTTTTTTCTTCAGCGGGCCAGCGCGCTGCGGGGATGTGTTGGGCTGCCCTTTCAGAGGCCCGTCAAGATGGCGTGGCCAGCCAGGCCGGGCCTTACCCCACCAAACAGCAGGTTTTGGCAGGCTACAGCCCGCCCCGCCGACTTGATTTGACAAGTCTTTATCCATGTTTGTGGTTGTGGGCCATTGCCAAGTAGGACATAAGGTCGACATGTACACAATTTTCAGGCCTAGTCCACGATTTACAAAGGACTTAACTTCCGCATGAGCTTCTTATCCAGCCAACTAATCCAGGCCCATACACGTGCGGAGAATCAATTCTGCTTAAACGTAGGCTAGTCCACTCATATTGGGCTTTAGCTTTTTCTTGTTTTTCTTTCTTTCTCCATTTTGCTTCATTTCCACACCATCATTGGGATGAAAGTCGAATTCATCTCCGACACATCATGGGGATTCGGCCTCTCTGATATTGTTGATCCCATAAAGTTGCAATACTAGTCGAGCTTGCGGCCATCGAAGTCAGTGCAACCCTCTCATTATGGGGATCACCAAGTAAACCGTCAATGGCACTGAGAAGCTAATTTCTTGGCCGCGCCTCTATGAGATGGCTTAGACTGCCGAGGTGTCGTCTGTTCAGTTTCTACTATCAATACTTGCTCCAGTAAGATCGGATCCACATTTGAGATGATCAGGTCTGGACGATCCTCCCCCAACTTGATGTTAACTTTATCCACATCTGCTTCGTCCATTACTTGCTATCTATCCTCCGACGAACGCAACAATAGTTATTTGATCTCTTATACTTTCACAATCAAAAGAGCAAAAGGACGATTGTGAGGGGGAGATTCCCTCCTCGGTATTTCGACGATGTTGCGACCCTAGAAGCAACCATCGAACGACACCCAATCCCTATTTTTTGCGGTCCTGTACCCTGAGACAACCTCACTGAAATGTCCCCTTATTGCGGTGGAGTCATTCCATGAGCAGCCGATGCGGCTCCTTGTGATGATGACTCCTTCCTCTTTTGTTTCCTTAGTTTTCCGATCCTATCTGTCGTCTTTTGCTTTTGGGATAAGGAATTGCCTAAGAAGATATTCAAGTTATTTAAATATGTTTTTTATTTATATTAAAAAAAATTAAATGTAATAAAATTTATTTAAAAAATCGTACTAGTCCAATCAGTTGTTGTTGTCCGGTTTGCTAGAACATATTTTATTCAAGCGAACGTGATCGAGTAACAAACCGGTTGCCTGGCCATCCGATCGAACTGTACGGTCCGATCCATTGTAAAAGCAATAAATAAATTATGATATGCAATGTATATAATTATTTTATAATACAATCGTATTAATATTGTTGTCTTATATATCGCACGAGCCACATACTACTTGAACATCGACATGAAAATTGGGGGCTTCGGGTCGATTACGACCCGAAAATATAGCCGGACCGGTTCGGTGAACAAGTGGTTCCAGACCGGTTCATGAATCGTATGTTCCTAGGCGGCCCAATTTATTAAAAAATAGTAAATAGAAAAATATTGAATCGTTGGTTCCACTTTGGAACCGGTATTATAGTTTAAAAAACCACAAATATATGTGGTCCGGAAAAGGCCCGGTCAAACTACAAACTCGATTCAAGGCCCGTTGATCACGATCTAAATTTAGGTCGATTTGGGTTGAACCAGAGAGCCGTGTTGGCCCCTGGCCTGACCATGTCTAGTTGACAAAATTTATCTAATGAAAATAAAAATAATAAAATTCACAAGATAAAAAAAAATAATAATCAGTATCATGTACCCACAACACACTATAAGTACAGTACATCAATATTCACTAAATAGAAACCGTAGCATTCCAAGTCCCACACACAACACACACGCATTTCATGTAAATAACACTCCCACTCTCATTTACAGTCTGACTCGGAAAATAACAAATATAATAAAATAAAACATGCAGCAACACACTCACTACGTGTCTGCTAGTTAGCCTCTCAACACCATTAATGCCCTGCACTAGTTAAGCGTGACCTTCTATGTTTTTGCACGCGCAATCTCTATCGATCTGCCATTGTTATACAACTTCAGCTTCCCTGTAATTGGGATGAAAACGATGGAGTTGAGCTTGCTAACATTGAAGATCTTCTCCAAGCTGGAGCATAAATGGTTGCACCACTGCGAGGGCAGAAAAACACGTGTTCTCAGCATAGATAGCGGCGGAACCAGTGCCGCCGCCTTTTGCGCCGCCTTGGTCCTCCCCGAGGACCAAATCCAGTAGAAAACTGGCGATCCCAATGCCCGTGTCGCCGATTTCTTCGACATCGTCGTCGACAACGGGATTGGTGCTCTAGTAATCGCAATGCTCGTCACCGCCGATGGCTCAGGTCATCCGCTTCACTCTGCGGGCAGTACATCAGCGTTTCTGACGGAGAATCGCGGTCGTATGTTCAAATCGAAAGCCCCCGAAGTTTTTCGGCATCGAACAGGGTTTTCCGGCAGGAGCATGGACGTCGTTTTGAAGTAAGCGTTCCGAAGGGTGGACGGGAAGGTGATGACGATGGCAGACGCGTGCAAGCCGCGGCTTGGGTCGTGCTTCGACCTGATCAGCTCAGCACCGTTCGTGTTCTCTCGAGCCGACGCCGCGGGCTTGGCTAGCTTCTACTTCGAGTTGCGGCGTGCTGTCCGCGTGGCGATGGCGGCACCGCCGGGGATCAAGCCATACAAGCTCTCTTGATTATCAATAATCGAATTAATTAATGGACATTATCTTAAACATGAGGAGGCAATTCGGGTAACTATTATTAGAGTCTCCAATGTAACTTGGGATAGAAAAAGAGAGTGAAATAATATTATGTTAGTGGACCATTATATTATTTAAGTAATTGGAAAAGTGGGTCAGGCCCACAGTATTACTTAAGAAGCCTTATTTCTGTTCTCCTAATATCCCTACTGTAGCTCTATATATACATCATTAGGCTAATTGAAAAAAGAATAAGAGATCAGATTATTCCTATGTGTGATATACTACACGCACACTCCTCTTTCTCTCAGTTTTCTGTTCGAGCTTTATCTTCTTTTTGTTGCTCCACCGGTACAAGTTGAAGAGTTGTACGAATAATACAATAGAAAATCTCGAGGTAACCAAAACATCGTGATCATCAACTGGAGCTGACGAATCACGACTCGAAGGTCGTGACCCGCCGACTGATGCCGCGACGTCCCCGCTCGACACGGCCAGCCCCGACGCTCCAGCCTCCGCGGCACCCCGACTCGCTGACAACTTCCCGAGCCTCCATTCGTAATCTCGGCGATTCTAACGTGCTGTTTCCGGTCATTCTATCTCATCTCGAATCCGCCAAATTCAGATAATTTTAAGTCGTAAGTTTTTTACGTCAAACCTTTAGATCCGCCGCGCATAGGTTTACGTTTGCTATTGAATTTGTGATTTGTACATAACGAGATCCTCATAGATCTAACATATATATGATAGTTTATGATTTTAATGATTAAAATATTTGATAAATTTAACTGAAAAAACTAGTTGAAATAAAAATTCAATTGACTCATTTGAAAAGCTACCCAATAAACTTTATCAGATAAGCTCTATCGTTTTAAAAAAAATCGTCCTAGTAAATCAAGCTTATTTGAAAAATGAAACTTGTAACTAAACAAATAAGCTATAAGCTAGCTTGTGGGATTACCACACACAACTTATATCATTCAAACAGATGACATTTATTTAATACATTTATTTATTCAGAATTAATAAAATGTAAATAATTTTAAATTATACAATAACTCATATTGTCAAAACAATAAGATATAATAGATTCAGCTAGGACAACCATAGACGATAAAGTGTAACTCAATTAGTACCTTTCACTTAGGACCAACAAGTCTCGAGTTCGAATCACCCAATGAGGTAAGTGAAAAGGCACTATTGATCATATTCTAAAGAATGAAAAAAGAAACTAGTCGTACGCAAAGAACCTCAAACTTAAATCCTAAACACAAACTAATAACACAATCAATTCTCATAGAGGAGACCAACCAACTCAAATTATGGAGACTAGTCAACTTCAAGAAATAATAATAATCACCACAAGCAAGAATATACACAATATACAAATGCATAAACAACTAGTACATGCTAACAAAATACTTATTCTAATAAGTAAAATAAAACAATTTATCGTTTGATCTTAACTACCACCATCACACAACGTTACAAGACACAATCCGATGAGGGAAACCGCCAAATATCAATATCAAAATCGAAAACTTCGAACTCTAAATTAACTCAAATATAACAAAATATATAATTTCAAATTGGTCATCAACTAATTAGATCCAAGAAAATCCCCAGTCACAACAAAATAGATAAAATAATAATAATAATAAAAAAAAAACTGCCTCAAACCCTAGCCAAACCTTTGTGAAAAGGAATAAATCTAGAGGTCCCGACTATGAAAGTACAATGATTGAGAGGGAGGCGCTCCAAATTATCGACGAATACCATGGTGCCGACACCAGTGGCCTTGAGAACAAAATGGATATGAATCTCCTGCAGTAATAATTTGGAAGATCCAAAACTAATAATGGTGGTATTTGTTAGCAACAACATAATGGAGACAGTCAATCAATATAGATTGATTCAAGATATAATCCAAATATAGTACGTACTTATGGATACATAATAAATGTGTTGAATTGATTATTTTTATTTAATAGATAATATCGCAACCTTGAATATTGAATCTAAAGGGATCAATCGGAAATGATACTCTAAATCCCATAACTATAATGAAATATGCGATTAACCAACAATTATCTAATTTTAAAAAGAGTTAGAATAAACGATTCAATACTTTTATCTTGATTTCTCGAACCGAGAGATCCGTGAATTGAGATTCTGATGCATATAGATTCAAATGGTCCAATCGGAGCAAGAATTTTCAGGAAGCATTTCCACTGTAGGAAATATATTTGGATTTTAAAGCCTTGCTTGCTCTACGTTTGGATGATATGCGAATTCCTAATCGATTATGCTTATATTAAACTTTTCAAGGCCCGTCTCATGGGATCCAAAACAAACGAGAAAAATTCAGAGACATATATAGGTTGGGAGAGATGTAATTTGTTTTAAGAAAAAAAAATACAAAAAGGATTTATACATTTAAATTTAGAATCATAATATAATGACATAAAATTTGACATAATGACACGTGTTATGATCTTATTATTTTATAAACCACATCACTTCTAAAATAAAAAAAGTATTAAATATATACGTTAAGTCTTGGTAATCCTCTATGCTAAAGCATTATGTCTAACATAGTTTTATTCTTAAGTTTAAAAAGTAAAATTAAAATTTAATGACTAGCATAGTAGCATTGCTCAACATTTTGGCGGTTTTATATTGGAGAGTAGACCGCGGGAGGGTACAGTTTCGAAATATTGAAAATGGGCGGGTGTTTTTGCCAAATATCCGAAACCTTACCCGCCATTTTCATATCCGATGTACTTAAACTGGTTAATTTCCCCACAAAATAGAGCACGAAAAGCAGATAAATTCCCTAAAATACCCCACGCGCTCTCACTCACCCTCATTCCACGCTGTAATCCGATCTTTTCTCTTCTCTTACCGTCGCTTGTTTTTCTCATGGAGAACCAGAGCGATATCTCCGGCCGGCGCCGCCACGAGAAGCCTTCGCCATCGCCGTCTCGCCGGAGCTTGAAGAGGAAGCTCGATGAGGATCCCGACGGCGATCGGCCGCATCGGGATCCAGCGCTCGAGGTGCGCGCTCAAGTCGAGATCCTCGATTCTGCTCTCTCGCCGTCATACAAGGATCGGTTGGCCGTGAAAAAGGCTATCGACGTTCTTTCCTGCTTCGCGAGGAACGGTATGTGGGTAGATAAAAGAGTTGAAGAGCAAATATGTTTTTCCGTTTTCCATCTCATCCGCAGTGAATATGTTGTTTTCGATTTTCCGCGTGTTTGCTTTTATTGGATTTTGTATTTAGGGTTTTTGATCTGTTGGGTAAAATGCTCAACGTGTGATTTTGGTATGTGGTTTTTCTTTATGTATTGGATTTTGTTTTTGTTTTTTGTTTTTTTTTTTGATTCGGTTTCGTGTGTGGCTGCAGAAGAGATGGTGGATATGATTGTGGGTTGCGCGGCCGTTCCTGCGCTGGTCAGACATCTGCAGGCTCCAAGGCCGGTGGAGGAGGGTGACTCTGGCCGAGTAGCTTACGAGCACGAAGTTGAGAAAGCAAGCGCGTTCACACTTGGGCTTCTTGCCATTAAAGTAATTGCAGTACCTCAGAGTTATTTTGTTTATGTTGCCTTGGTTATTCTTCATAGCCAATTATGAAACAAGTTTTATGGATGTGTTAAGTTGGTTATACAATTATGTTCTCATTATTTTGTTGCTTTTGAATTCTATTGGGCTTAAACTGAAAGCTTGTATGGGCGTCATGACATGTTTGAATGTTCAATGAGTTCCTTTTTTTTTTCGTTTAATCTGCTAGATACCTAGTTTGTTTTAACTCTGGTGCTCGGCCATTTAATAACGTAATAGAAAAAAAACTGGCTCTGATATTTGGTTGTATGAGCCATTACGTGCCATTCTCAAAACATGCCTCTTTTGCTTAAAATATTTGTACTTCTTGTGTTTATTTACCCCAAAAATGATTTTATTATACTCGTGCTAAAAAGATGGAATGGGTTTTTTTTTCAATATTATCATACTCAGTTCATATTTTGCTGATACAGTTTCAATAGTTGAAGAGTATTCTGTTCTTTTCAGACATGTAAAATGCCTTCCCACTTAAGTAAGATTCCGAGATAGGAATATCTCGTGACAGTAACTTAATGTAGGTTTAATATCTTATTGTTACGTGCCACTGACATTTTGTTTGTTTTTTTCAGCCCGAGCATCAACATCACATTGTTGATGCAGGTGCTCTACCCTTTCTGGTGGATCTTTTGAAGAGATATAGGGGTGTTTCAGAATCTTGGGCAGTAAGTGGTGTTATTAGAAAAGCAGCTAATGCTATCACTAACCTTGCTCACGAGAACGGCCACATTAAAACCCGTGTTAGGTTGGTTTTCTTTTTAAACTCTTGTGATTGAATACATATTGTCTGTGTC